CTGCACCTGACCCAACCCCCCCCCCCGAACGCAGTACACAACGTCCTACAAGTTTCCAAGCACCTGTCAAGCTCGGCCGCAGCCCCGACTGACTTCCGAGTACCAAACGACCATTACAACAAAACTCCCCCACGATCCTCCTTCCAACCCAATCGAGACAGTAAAACAACCCGACCACCGTACAATGGCGGCCGTCAGCCCCAGCGAGGGCTACTCCGACACCCAAGGCACCCCGAGCTCCCTTCCCGGCAGCCACGTCATACCCATGATTGCTCCCAGCGAGAAGACTGTCCACAAGATCCCGCCTATCTTGCCGCGCGAGAGGGTCTTTCCAATCCAGATCGGCAGCGAACTGTTCAAATTATCCGGAGCATCGCTCTCTTCAGATGGTGCGTCACGATAGCTTCACTCCATCTCATCGAAACTACTAACCCGGCAACACCATGCCCAACAGCGCCATCCTACTTTTCGCAATACTTTCTCTGCCAGATGAAGCAAGCCGAAGAGCGCGGAGACGACGTGGGAAGCGCCATCCGCACGCTATACATTGATCGCGACCCAGAGACGTTCCGCGACATTGCGCTCCATCTGCAGGGCTACCATGTCATGCCTCGCGACGGCACGCATTTCGTACGCCTCTTTGCTGATGCGCAATTCTACAGCCGTACGCTCCTACGCCCCCCTCCCTCACGCGTTCAAGCAAAAAGCCTAAATCAGCTATTCACCGCAAACACATAAACAGTCCCCAAGCTCATATCGCAGCTTTACGAAGAAAGCATCTTCATCTCCATTGGGCACCGAGAATTCCAAATCCCTCGCGACCTCCTCACGGACCCGCGCAACTCGCCAAACTACTTCTCCCTCGGCTTCGCATTCTTCTTCTCACGCCCAGACAACCTCTTCCCCGGCCTCGACCGCGAGTGCCTCATCCGGCCGCCGTCCATCCTGCCGCCTTCGGTGCCGAACCGCAACGCCGACACCTTTGCCGACCTCCTGCGCCTGTTGCGCGGGTACCCCATCAACATCCGCGACGAAACGCACCGGCTCGAGCTCCTCCGCGACGCCCGATACTTCCACTTCAAAGGCCTGGAGCAGCAGCTCATCCCGCACTCGATAGCGTACAACTCGGTCCGCGGCCACGACGAAATCGCCCTCCGCCTGGAGAACGTCCAAAAGAGCGGCATCAGCATCCTCCAGGACCGCCAGGAAGAAGACGCCCCCAACGAAAACGGCATCAGCGCCCGCGTCAACTACGCGCGGCCCTATGTCGATGACAAGCCCGCCGAGCTGGTGCTCGAGATTGCCAACGAATCAAGCAGGATCCACTTCCTCCGCGACGGCCCGCGCCTGGAGCTCTTCAGGGACACAAAGACCCGCGTCGCCAAGCTGCTCGAGGTCATCGCCACGAAGCTGAACCTGCCGCCCACCACACAGCCGCTAGGCCTGCTCATGGCCTCGGGCGGCGCGTCCTCGCAGCCCGCCACGCCCGGCAACACCCTGCTCAGCGAGGACCTGGTCCGCGCCGTGCTGGGCCCCGACGCCGCCATCACCCTGGACGGCAGCGAGTACGACCCCAGCTTCACCGGCGGGCCCGCTTCCGACGACGCCAACGGCGGCGCAGCCGGTCCGAGGAAGCGTAGGAGGATCACGGACGGCAGCGACAATAGCGAGACGTGGACCGTGGCCACGGGCCAGTGGAGGCTGCGGATACAAGCTACAAGCAGCGGCAAGAGCGCCGTGGAGTGTGTCTTTGCCGCCGTCAAGCTAGACTGCTTCTCCGACGAGAGGGGCCGGAATTCCCGCAAGTCGTTTCTGGTGTCGTAGCCGCGTCGCACACGCACTGCACACCGGGACTTTGTAAGAGAGGACGCCCCTAGAATATAGATGGCATTCTGGCTGCCCACCGGAAACTGGAGTTTGGGGGGGATTGTACACAGCGTTTGGATACCAAAGCGCGGGGGATCGGCAAGAGCCGTATAGCACGGATAGGGCTTATCGACGGCGTTGGGGATAAAATCTCTGTTTTTCTGACACGGGGCGGCTACCACCCCAGACGCGGGGCGTGTGTATCCATATAATTAACACTTTTGACACCTTTTTCAGATGAACAAATGTCCATCATGTAACTCGATAGTATACTTGACGACTCGGTGTGTTTCAGCGCGCTGACACACAAAAATACAAGTAGGCTGCCCAGGCACCCAAGCGGAACATCATGACATGACTTGTAGTAGTATTATGATATCAACGACCATGCTCCACTAGTACCAATAAAGAGATGCCTACAACATGCCATGCATCCCAAGAAGAAAAGAGGAAAAAGAAAAAAAAAGTCCAACGCCCATCGCCATGCCTGCCAAAACAGTCCAATGCAATTATTAACAAACACAACCCCCAAACACGCCTGTCGGCCCCGATAACCCCATCCACCACATACATGGTCATGACTTGAATCTCGGCGTAGCCTTGACCGTAGGAGCACTTACGTCCCTCTTAGCCGGACGTCCTCGCGGCCCTGTCACCACGGCGGCTACCTTTTTCCCCGGCGCAGCAGTCCCCTGTGCAGCACTCCTCGCCCGTCCCCTTCGCTCACGAATCTTGGCCAGCGCCTGCTCCCGTGTCATAGTCGGCGTCATGGCGGGATCGTTGGAGTCAAAGCTGGCATTGCTACTGTGCGAGGGCGTCCGCAGACGCTCGTTGAACGACGAGCTGGACCGGGCAGTTTCTTCTCGCAGAGGAATCGTCGTTGTGACGGTGAAGGAAGCTGTAGATGTGTGCGGGCGAGGTTCTGGGGACCCGGCGGGGGAGTAGCTCTGTTCTACGGGTCCAGCTGCTTCTTCCTTTACCGGTTCTTCATCTGCAACTGCCGGAATGCTGGGCATAGGAGGCAAGGGTGTCGACTGAGCGTCGTCGTGCGGTGCGTCGAGAAGAAAATCTAGCGAGTTGCGCTCCTGCGCAAGAAGAGCAAAGGCAGGAGGATCAACGGATGGTGTTCTGGCGTACATCCGGGGGCTGTGATCTACTTCTGTGCTTGGCAACGGTTCGTCTGCATGAGCTTTCTCCTGAATGGCAGGCTCAACAGCTACAGCGGACTTTTCCTGTGCTTCTATGGCTGCCGCCTCTTGCTCGGAAACCGTGCGGAAGATGCCTTCTTTCGGACAAAAGATGGTGCTTCGTCGTGGCTCTTTTCTGGACTTGATGCGTTGTTGTTCGGGCTCGACCTCGGGCTCGACCAGAGGCTCCTGCTCTGGTTCTCTTGCTGGTTCAGGTTGGGGTTCTTGTCGATACTCCTCCAGTCGCAGTGAGTTTCGCAGAGAACCGCGATGGGAACTGCCATGAGAATTGCGAGATGGTGCTCGTTGCGAATGTGGCGAATGCGACTCTTCCTTTACAGCAACTGGCTGCTGCTCTTCTTCCTGCTCGACCGACACGCGTCGTCGCTTTTGCGGGGCCTCGACGCTCATTCTCGCATTATTAGTCTTGGTCTTGGAGCAAGGGCAGCAGCGCATCTGACATTCGGCCTGAAGAAACTCAATCATCTCCTGAGCCCTCTCCGCGCGCTGTCTCTCCCAAAGAAGCTGCGTGTTAAGCTCCTCAATCTCCATCTCGCTCGCGGCAGAGGACATGATCTCCATGGTTGACAATGAAACTCGAGGCGCCGCCCGTCCACTCTGTCGTTTAGCCGGAATCATCTTCTTCTTTGGCGATGAAAACTCGTCGGTGAGATCCTGAGACGGCGGTAGCGGGAGCCGGCCTTCAGCAGCAATACGAGCTACTTCCTCGTTCTTAGCGGCCGTCTTGAAAGCATCTCGCTCTTGCTCCACGACCTTGATACGCTCGAGTGCCTTGTCCAGCTGCTCCTGAACACCAACAATCTGGTACCGCGCAGTAAAAGCTTCCTGTTCCCTAACCTTGCTTCGCTCCTTTTCACGCTGAAGGCTCTCCTCAACGGATTTGACTGAACTCCTGGCCGACTTGAGCTCCTCCTGCAATTTCACAATTGCAGACTGGCTCTTGAAGTTTTCTTTTCTCGCTCGTCGGATTTCCTTTTCCCACAGAGCTTGTGTATGTGCATGTGTTTCCTTGGCACGGCCATAGTTGTCCTGCACGCCTGTCAGTCCCGGCGGAGTTTGCAAAACTCGGGAGCTGTACGTCAACCTACCATGACGGCTTCCAGTCTCTCTCCGACTTTCCTCTCACGCTCCTTTCCTTCTTCAATATCCTTCCTCAACAGTATTAATTCTTCCCGCATTCTCTTCATTTCCGCCTCTGCCTCCTCCCGTCCCACCATGGCTCTTTTCAGAGCCGCATCCGCCGTCTTGCGCTCCATTTGCTTCGATTGCACCGCGATACTGAGGTTGTTAAACTGGTGAATCTTCTCGTGTACAGAGCTGTCTCTGCCCTCGCCTCGAAGCGAAGAGAATATTGAGTCACGGCGATTTACGCGGTCGGGAGTCACGGCCTGGAGGGGTCCCCCGGCCGGGGAACCAGGCGTACCCGAGCTCGTATCCATTGGCAAAACGGCTTTTATTTCGTAATATTCTTCTTTCGTATGATCCGAAGATTCCGCTACCATCCCGTCGTCTCCGTTTCATTCGGAGATGCTCGACGTTTGCTCAGTAGCTCAACAGTTGCGGGAAGCAATGTAGTCACGGCGGTTAAATTTGCGGGTGGGATAGTGTGGCGTTGTGCTGTTTACAGTTTCATAAACTAGTTCCCTATCTTATCAGTTGCCGTAGTAACGGCATCACGTGACGACAAATCTTCTCAGCCAAACGGACGCCGTCGGTGAATTTCCAGTTCTTTATAAGTGTGTAAATTGTTTTCTTATTGTATTTATTGGCATTCATTAACTAGCTGTAAGAAAATGTGTTTTCCATCCAGGGAATTTCGCTCGTGAAGATGGTCTCTTGAGCCGCTAAACGGCCGTGGGAGTCAAGCTTTGTATGCCACATCATCTCGACCAATCACAGCAGCTATGAAATGTGAAGGGCGTGCACGAGATAATTATGCCAGCTTGAAACAATGTATTGCATGTTAATGGAGCACAATGCTCCAGAGATATAGATCCAGCCCATGTTAATAGCAATTTGACTACGTAACTATGGTACGCGGCCAATATTGACAATTTCACGCCACGTACGGAGTAGCAAAATCCTCAAAACCCGGTCCCAAACGGGCAGTCAGAAAGTGCCACTTGGCGCGGCCCCGTTTCAGCACTCCCTTGCTTACACCTACGTCACAAGCCGTCTCGAAACATCTCCTGTTCATCCCCTGCTTTGAAAAGCCAGGCTCGGGCAACCATTATTCTTCTTGTCAACAATTATCAATGCCGAGGTAATCGAACGCCCTTCATACTTAACCGCTACCAGCATGGCCGACGCCGAGCTTCGTCAGCGAAAGGCCGGCCCGGCTTCCGACGACCCACGCCCCAAATCATCCGAGCCGGAGCCAAAACCAAAATCCAGACGCCACCTCGACGACGACGACGACGTATACAGTCCCTGGGTGGACGTTCTCCGCGTGCTGTCTTTCCTCCTCGTCGCATCATGCGGCTTGAGCTACGTGATTAGCGGAGGGGAAAGCATCTTTTGGGGCATGAAGGACAAGCCCCAGTACCTGCGTGTTGGGTGGTGGAAGTCCCAATTCGTAAGATAACCCCCCGGTGTTCAACGCTCTCCTCATGAGGGAAAAACTAATACGTTTGTTTTCTTGCCTCAAGTCTGGGCCAATCTACCTTACCGAAAAGGAACTGCTGGCGTACGACGGCAGCGACGCCGAAAAACCGCTGTACCTGGCCATCAACGGCACCATCTACGACGTCTCCAGCAACCGCAGGATGTACGGCCCCGGCGGCTCCTACAACGTCTTTACGGGCCGCGACGCTGCGCGCGGGTTTGTTACGGGGTGCTTTGCTGAAGACCAAACGGCTGATCTGAGGGGCCTGGAGGAGATGTTTCTGCCGGTCGACGACCCAGAGGTGGACAAGTACTTCACTACGGCGGAGATGGAAAAGATGCGTGAGGAGGAGCTGGCTGCGGCCAAGGAGAAGGCGCACGCGGCGCTGCAGCATTGGGTCAAATTCTTCGCCAACAGTAAGAAGTATCATCGGGTGGGGTATGTGAAGAGGGAGGAAGGGTGGCTGGAGAAATTGCCGAGGAGACAGTTGTGTGCGCAGGCGCAGAACAGGAGGAAGAAGAGAGTGCGTAAGCATACTTGAGAGTACAGCATCGATTTAGTGATCAGGGATGCGAAGGTAGTTGTGGGATGAATGATTTGCAACACATTTTGAGAGATCACTTTGAGCTTGGTGATTCTTAGGGGAAAAAATCCCATGAAAAAAAATGACAAAATATGGGCTTTTGTTTCCACGAGGTTCTACTGCCAGAGCAGTGCATGCCGGGTGACATGGTATGCAAGAGTTGCATTACTCCCGGATCCTCTCTCGTGGGAAATTCAGATGTAAGACGGAAAAACGAATATTGGCTGCTCGGCAGCAAGATATAAACAAGGCAAAAAGTATTAATATCCACCATCCACCAGGATCATCACATAATTTTCGTGACGTCGTCATTCCCACCCTAGTGCCATCAATTAAACCCAGAGTTTACAAGAACATGAATCCAACACCGAGGGCTATCAGTAGGGTGCTCGGTACAGCCAGGTTGATACCAGCACTAAGCGGAGCAGACGTTGTTGGGGACTGGTTTCCAACAGGGGTGGGTGTGTCTCCAGAGCCAGGAGTGCTTGATTCTCCTCCGTTGTTGCCGGAGCCGCCGTTAGAACCACCGCCAGGAGTTCCCGCAGAGCTTTGTGCAGACTTGGCCTGGAGCCGGTAGTTCTCCAAAGACCGGCTACTGTTTGCGCTAGTGTTTTCGTTGATGACCATAGACATGCCGTCTTGGCAGTGACGGCCCTGCACGCAAGCTACCCAGATAGGCGCGGTGCTGTTGATCTTGACGGTATAGACGGAAATCAGACCCTTGTCAAGACTGGCCTGGGCAGGTTGGAAACCAGAGTCGAAGCCGGTCACGTTAGGACTGTGTTTGGAGATGGGTTGGCACTGCTGGTCAAAAGTCGTCTGCATGGCGTTATGGTTACCAACCCAGAACTGAAATTGGACCATGTCACCTGGCTTGGCGGTGATCTTATCGGGGTAGAATTTCAGGGCAGTCTCGTTTGTGAGTGGGTTTTTGCCGACATCGACTTTATGGACCTGAACGGAGGCTGGACGCGGTCAGAATTTTGTCATCAAGAACATCGTTCTAGATGAGCGGCGTTCTTACCTTGAGCAACACTTAGCAGTGTGGCCAGAGCGAGAGTTGTGAACTGCATTTTGATGGATGAAGGGATTGACGACTTCGGAGATTTAAAGACACTAGCGTTAAGCTTTTTTCTTTTTTTGAGTCGGACCAATGTTGTTACTCTTTCCAGAGAGCAATATTCGGAATCGTTTCGATAACCAAAAGAGTGTTCAGTGTATGTAAAGGACTAGCCTTTTCGAAATTAATAGAACCGTAAATGTAGCAAGAGCTAAGTTGTCTATATGAAAGGACACAGTTTGAAAAGAGAGTGCACAGAACAGGGAAAGACAAGTAGTCCCCCAAAACTTGAAGACCGTCGGCCGCTGGAATACGGAAAGAAAAGTGAAACTAAAGGAAGAGATCAAAAGCGCGAAAGTGGAAACGGCGTAAATTTAAGGCATAGTGTGATAGTCTCATTCTACTCATTATCCAGAGGCGTCGTACAAACCACGTTGAGAGAAACATGAATCTCGGCGTGGTTGGTCCTGGTTGTCCCGAACCCTGAATCTAACAACAGGATGGGGAGGGGCTTTCCGGACAGGGCCTCCTGTCTCGGCATGGGGGAGAGAGATTCCTCGTGGGACTATTGAAATGGGCAGGGAAGGGGCGAACACAAGACCAATGGCATGTTTGAAGGTGGCAGTAGTCAGGCTGAGAAGTGTTTGGCTAGTGTAAGGCATGGTGATGATGGCGCCGCCTCTGACCGGACCTTAGTCTTGCAGCAGTTTCTGCGAAAAGCCCGCTAAAGGGACCGGCAACTCGGCTATTTCTTGAGCTATTAGGAACCCTTCATATTTAGGTTGATTTTCTATGGACCTGTGGCTGTATTAGAGCTATACAACGAGTCACAACGGGTTTATCCAGAACAAACCAGCTGTCCATCCTGGCGACGGGATTCAAACGAGCAAGCGCTCGAATACTCGAGTTGCAATCCTACAACGGCTGGCAACACTTGAGGGTTCGAAATAGCCACGGAACCGCAGAGCCCGAACAAGTCCATGGCCGTGGTGAGGCTCTGCCAAGGGGTCCTGAGGTCGGATGCGCCGCACGTTGAAGTGGCTCCGACAGACGCGAGACGGCCCCGGTTTCAGTCCCGAAGGAACCGTCGCTGCCAGCGCCCAGGAACCGCGGCTGCGACACATGTGGCCGCACCTAACGAATCAGGCACATTCGAAAGCCATCACGCCCAGACGGGTAAGCTTTTGAAATGGAAACAGTTGTCCGGAATTTGGGATGTCGATAGACGCCAAGGCGGGCGACTAAGTAGGCAGAAAATCATCTCTCGCAGATGAAGTGCAGGTTGTCATGCTGCGCCTGCCCGGAGGTGTTATGGCCCGGAGAGGCAGTGGGCCTGGGTTGCGGCTTCCCGTCATGATGACAGGAAGCCTTGAGCACTCGCATGCCACCACACTGGCTCCTCCATGAAACATCACGACTTGCTTGCGTTGCTCTATTTGCCACGTCTTGGGTCAACTGGGAGAATGGAAGGTATACGTGTATTCATGCTGTCTCGTTCACGGAGCCGTATGGCTATGCAGTCATCATACGCGGAATACCAGCACTCACCTCCGTCGTAGAACCGACCTACTTGCGAACCAACCGCGTTAGACAGGCCTCCAATCCTCAACCACGTGAATGCTGCTACACAGAACGCCTCGAACTTTGCCGATGGAACAGTGTCGTTTCAGATGCCCGGCCATAGCAGCGCTGAGCCTGGAGAAACATCGCCATCATAATCCATTATTCCTCAAACACAATTTGCCGGAGTTCATTAGTCCTCTCTTCTCCATGGTTTCTCTGCCTCTTCCGCATCTTCCTCCCCAATGACGCGTCTGAGTGATCAGCGTACAATAGAAGATCCAATAAGTTGGGACGAAGCGTTTCAAGATTTTCCGCCACTCAAGGCCAGCAATGATTATGCCGAGATAGTAAGCGGCGGCGAAAGAAACCCCAAAAATAGTAGCATATTTTGAATCAGTTCTGCTCGTCCTTCAATAACGTTGTTTGTGAGTGACTCTTATGTCCATTGATTATCTTCTGCATAATCCCGCCCCCTTACGAGCGAGCCAGCTTTTGCCAAATCTTTATCGTCATCAATGGATATGTTTTGTCGATGCCTAACGAAGGACGTTTAAGGCTCATGCATTGCACACGGAATGTATCAACTCGGTCTTGGGCTTTGTTTTGCTTCAGGCCGTAAGCAGATATCAGGCGAGTAACAAGAGCCTGACAAAAACCACAATGGAGATGGCTGACAGCATACCATTGCACTGCTGAAGCATCAATCGGCCAAAAAAGTGCCTCATGCTCCTGGTCAATAACCACCGACTTGACGGCCATTAATGGTTAGCAACGCTGCGCGAGCGCTGCATTACTGAGGGCCAATATGAAGACAATATCAGTCGCTCTCTTGCATCAGGGAAGGGACTTCAACCGTTTATAGATCTAGCAACAGTTGCGGTGCAATCTTTTCCAAATCGTCCACCTCCAAAACCGTCAGTCGAGCGAACCCCAGGTGCTGGGCCAGCGGGCAAAACTTACCTCCAAGAATCCTGCATTTTTCTCCATAGCTGCTCTGGCAATAGCTTCTCTCACAAAGATATCCATATACTTGCCTACAGCCGCATTCGCATCACGAGATATTCTTGTAGAGTCCTTAGCGAAAAACTCATGCAGAATGCGGGTCAGTAGGTCCCGGGGTATCGACTTCTCTGGTGGTGGTACGTCATCGGTATCATTTCGTGCGTCCTGAGCTTCGGCCTGGTCGTCTGAAGACTCGAACGGATCGCTAGCTTCGGAGGATGCCGTCTCAGTCGACTGACTTCGGTCCGTGGTACCCTTAGGCCGTCCTCGGCCGCGAGTGGAAGATCCTCTTGGAGGCATCATACAACTAAATAGTCGTCGCAGCCGTCGACTAGGAACGAGCCGAAGACACTGTGGCACTATTGGGATCAGATGTTGCGGTGAGTGGCGACACGATTAACATGTTGAAAGCGAAACGCGTCCAGAGGCGTGACAAAACACCACCACTAGCCTTAGTCATCAACTACAGGCCCTGAAGTGCTAACAATGGGTTGTGTCACCAATTCGTAAAAAACCGCCTTCACGCGTAACCAGGATTGAATGCCGTGACAAGTACAACCGCGCAAATAAACATGTAGTAACATCAAGGGAAATTGCATTGGTGTATAAATTACAGCGACCTAGAAAAAGCTCGGCAGAGCCGAAGGACAAATACGCCATGCCGATGCCAGTCTAACCCGCAAAGAGCATCTGTTGCACAGAAACACAAGGAACATTTTCTTTGTCCCAACTTCCCTCTCTGCCAGAATCCATATCTCCATTTTTATCCGTCGGCAGTCACCGCATCAAGCCCACCGATTGCGAACCAGTCTCCATCTCTCCAGCGTAAACTAGTCTATACAGGAATCAAGGAAAATTGTTTAACCAGAGCCGCCCTTGAAGGCCTTTCCGAAGAGGATGAGCTGGAGCTGATCGTAGATAGACAGGACACCAGCACCGGCAACACCACGGAGAATGTTGGCACCAGCACCGTTGAACAGGGACTTGACACCGTTCTTGGCAATGATCTGGCGAGCAGCATCGAAGGAGTTCTTGTACTTGACGGCCTCACCAGAGGTCATCATCATGCGACGACGGATGGTGTCAAGAGGGTAGGCAGCGATACCGGCACCAGTGGTGACACACCAACCGAGCATGAAAGAGGCAAGGAAGTTGTTGGCAAGGCTACCGACCAGGAGAACAGGCTTGATAGAGTCGTACATGCCGAAGTACAGACCACGGTAGACGATGATACCAGCGACGGAGGGCATGAAACCACGGTACAGACCGGCAATACCGTCAGAGGCGAGGGTCTTGCGGTAGACATCGACGAGACCGTTGAACTGACGCTCACCACCGGACTTAGCGGACTTGGCGTCGTTGGCAAGACGAGTACGGGCATAATCCAGGGAGTAGACGAAAAGCATGGAAGTGGCACCAGCAGCCTACCAGTTTTGTCAGCAGCCTGGACTCAAATGTAAGCAAGGATAAGGTTTCAACATACACCGCCAGAGGCCAAGTTACCAGCCATCCACATGGCATAACCGTCACGCTCCTTCTTGAAGCCGAACATCTTCTTGAACTTGTCACGGAAAGCGAAGTTCAGGGCCTGAGTAGGGAAGTATCGGATGACGTTGGCAGTGTTACCACGCCACAATGACATGACACCCTCATCAGCCATGGTGCGCTTGAAGCAGTCGGTGATGCCATTGTAGCGGCGATCAAGACGACCAGCCTTGATCATTTCATCCTGGTTCTGGATCAGGAGCTTGACACGCTCAATGGGGGCAGCGGCGGTCTTCGAGACGGCGGCAGAGACACCACCCACTATGAGACAATTAGTATCTGTAGGTATCATGTGTATGCAATTTCTTTTGTTCGCAGGAATAAGCACTTGGCGGCACGACTGTGGTCGTGACAGCGCTTATCGACCTGCGTCCGTAAATTATAAATGTAGAAACGTACTCAAGAAGTCGGCCACGAAGGGCTGTGGACAGAACTTGTTAGCGACTGTCTGATTTCATGTGAAGACGAAAATTTCTTCCCCGGAGTAGCCGTTGAGTGAAACAAGAGACGACGCAGACGGCAAGAGGCGAGTGCGATGCGGCGACAATCGCATCAAGGCCGGGCCATGGCTATTCAATTGATCATAGACGCCCAATTGAGTATCACGAAAGTCGTCCGTATTTCTGCCCAGGCTACCCCTATCGCAAGCGCGGCATTTCACGGACCAAGGGGGGGAATCGCGGAAAGGGGCAGAGTTGCTTACCGGCATGCCCAAGACCTTCTGAGGCTGTTCACCGGACATTTTAACGGTTGTACTTTATCTGAAGACAAGACAAAGGACTGAGGGGAGATGGATGAAAGAGAGAAAGGGAAGGGAAGAAGGTGTACGGGTAGTCGAGCGAAATAAATTCTGCACCGGCTGGCGGACGGGTTTGGGGGAGAGGAAAAAATTGCGGCGGAGCCAGGACGGGGACTGGTTTTGAGCGAATCTACCCGGACGGAGCAGTTGGATCCTCAGGTACCCAGGGAAGTACCCTAATTACGCTATCCAGCCGCGTACCTTCCCAGGTACCCTCCTCGCCCTTGACCCCAGGGTGCTGGCTCGTTTTCCATGGCAACAGCGCGCTTCGTGTCTTGGCAGCCTCAGGCCCGAAGGAGTAAGTGATGGCACCGAGGTACGGAGTACAAGCACTGTACCTGGAAGCCACTTGTAGGGACTGCTGTGGCTTAAGCGTGGCCGTGCTGCGTGCGACAGGTACTTGCCAAATACAATGGTCTGCGGCTTCTTGCACTGGCGCTCACTGTCACTTGAATCTCACATTCTGAAGTTGGCCATGTCTCGAGAGATGGAGCCTCGCGAGGCCTGAGATCCGGTTCAGCCCGAACTTTTTTTTTTCCTCACTTGAGGCACCAGACACACCTGGCCTCAATTGTGACCGAACGCCTGGAGCCTCACGGCTGCATGCTCCAGTTGCTCTTTTAGGCGACCCCGGCCAACCACGTCCAGCTGTTAAAATAACAAAAGGAAGCGCAGGCTGTGGCAACCATCGTGAGCTGGGCAATAGACAATGTTTGGGTAAGGGAACGTGAGAGGGAGTCTCTTTTCTTATTATTCCCATGCCCCTACTCCAGACACCAGGATCGCGCCCCTTCTAGTTTTTGCTTACGACGATACGGAGTACCGGGACCGCACCAACACCGCTGTAAGCCTTGCCATCCATCACTGCTGCCACGTCGCATGCGTGACTTTACCTGGACCTCATGACCCTTCTTCCACTGCTCTTTGACTCGGCTTTGTCCTTCTCTACCCTGCCATGTCCCCTCTTCTTTATCCCTCCTACACGTCAAACATGGCATCGTGGCATATTGTGCACATGAAAGAGAAATTATGTAAGGATCGCATTGGCCATTGGGTCCCGGCCAGCCAGGTGAGTCGCGCAAATTGCATCGTCGGCTCGTGGCGACGGTGTGACTCGGGTAAGGAACAGTGGTGAACTACTCCGTGCCATGACCGACTGTCATCATATGCCAGTACCCACAACTTCAATGTTGCCCCAGGGAGGCGAGCCTGAGCTAAAACGAACCAGACCAGGCTTGACCGTCCTCCGTACAGCAATAGCAGACACGGAGTATGGAGTCCATGTCCCTTGGGCCGACAAGAGTAGTACATGCCAAGTACATGCCCGTGCATGGTAGCATCCGAGCCGCCACATGGAGCCTCCGAGGCTCGACTTCAAGTTTTTCCCTTGGACTCCACTCGACCCGACAAGATGCAAAATACAGTGGGAGACATTGGCTGAAATTCGTCCTGCCTTCAATTACTCAGTGGAGCAGTCCCTGTTCTGGAATCTCAAGTTCGGCTGTCCCAGCGTCCAGCCGAGCACCAGACAATTAAAAACCGTGATAGCCTTGTCTGGCGTCTCCGGCACTGGATAGAAATTGCGCTCTTTTGTCGACACCACTTCCTCTGGTTGGCTTTCCATTGACCTTCAATTCTAGTCCAATGTCTGATTTGGAAGCAAAGCAGCTTTCTCGCCGATACAACGCTCCGGGTGATATCGACGGGATGCAACTCTCAAGACATAATTGTGCTTGGGAGAGGCGTGATCTCTGGTCGAGAAACCCGCACGTAACGTTTACAGAGGTTACTATTCCAGTGCATCCGATATTGTAAGCAGTATGCGAGATGAACAGTATTGTAGAATTGGGACATACTCCCTGTCCCTGACTGATCCACTATGTATATAAACCGAGGCAGGCATGAAAGTTGAAGCCTGCACAATACGGAGCAGAACATGATGCAATTGTGCAAATTCTGTGGTACGCAGCAGACTGGTGGAACTGCCTCATCTATAACGAAGGCTCTAATGGAGAACATGACATATATGTGGGCGCCTGGCTAGCCAGTCATGAGTATCATCAACCGCTGACCAGGCGAGCCTTCGTACAACGGCGAGCTTAATCTCATACATGATATGACAATAGATAACAACCTATGGTGAGCGTCGCAGGTATTCGATCAGGCTAGTCGTCTTGGCGGTACGAAGAGTCGTCAAAATACTTCTTTCTGGTCACAGACTGTACTACAGAAGACATCACTGCAAGTCGCCCCATGTCCACCAACTAGACCGTCACAGGACACGCTATTCACACGGCCGAGAAAAGCAATTTGACATTGTTTCAAGATCTTTCATTCCATTGTCGTATGCTAAAGCACAATTCCGGTCCCTAGGTATGGTATAATACCGAGCATGAATTCGTCCCAACCAGGCCTTTTATCTGCCGTGAAAAAAAACCGTCCACTCTAATGACTGCTGAGATGGTTGCGGGCCACTCAGACACCGTTACTCCAGACACACAACATTTTTTCCTTGCCTAATTTAGGAACCACCGACGGCACGGGCTAGATGCATGTCAGCATTTCATTCTTGCATCTCTCTGAATCTCGGGCATGTCGAGTGGCTTATCAGTGTGGTGCATACTGTAGATCTTCATCTTGCTGTGGGTGACAACGGGCTTGATAAGGCCCTTCTCCTCGAGGTCAGCGAGGCACTTGCGAGCCAGAGAACCGTTGACCTTCATTCTGTCGACGAGGGTGGCGACGGTGACCAGACGGTAGGACTGGACATCCTTGTAGAGCTTCTCGGATGTGGTCTTGTCAAGAAGGACGGCGTGCTGAGCCTTGTCCTTGACCTTGCCCTTCGACCACTTCTTCTTTTGCTTCTTAGCTCCAGCAGCAGGCGCCTATAAATTCGCGAGCAGAATCCTGTATCAGCATTTCCGCATTCTCTTTCACCATTTGCTCGGGCTCATGATAGAAACATAGCGTTTCTTGAGGGACGGGGGAGGGGATCTCGTTTGGCGTACCATATTGATCTGTTGTGCTTGACGTTGACGGGAGTGTGGAGGAGAAAGGGGATTATTTTACCAACTTGGAGCCAAAGTCATTCCCACTCGGAGTAGCAGGCGAGGCGACTCCCTCTGTTACGCACCTGGATTGGAGTTTCGCCCAGGGCAGGCTTGCCCTAACACAACCAGTGCGTAGAGTACGTACCGAATCTTTTGCGCAACCTGATTCGTCAGCCCCACCCACCACTAAAATTTCCCAAGCCCTACTCTCTCTCGCAGCCGAAAGAGACGCAGCTCATCCTCCAAAACCTCCCGAAAAAATACCATCTCGCCAACCTGCAATACTAACCCGCAGTCCGCCCGCCAGATCGAGGATATATTTTCGACTGCAGCACAGCCAAAATGTCTGACGGTGGCGATATCGAGGTCGAGAACACTGTCGTCTCCGACGTCCTCCCCAAGGATGTTGTCAAGGAGGTCGGCAACGTCAAGTTGTTCAACAAGTGGGACTACGATGTCGAGGTTCGCGACATCTCTCTAACGTACGTTACGATACCATGCAGCTTTTTTTCGGGACTGGGAGAAATGGGATTCTTGGGTTCAATGGAGGAATTCAATGCTGATGGATTTTGTCTGCGAACAGTGACTACATTTCCCTGCGAAACCCCGTCTATGTCACCCACTCTGCAGGCCGATATGCCGTCAAGCGATTCCGCAAGGCCAACTGCCCTATCATTGAGCGATTGACCAACTCGCTCATGATGCACGGCCGCAACAACGGCAAGAAGCTGATGGCTGTCCGCATTGTCGCCCACGCTTTCGAGATTGTACGTGTTTTTTTGCCAACCCCGCGACGCCGGTATAAATAAACAGTCATGTCATGACAGACTGTTCGGCATGGTTTCCACCCCTGAAACACGTACACGGGGACTAGAAAAAATAAGGCATTATCAGTCTAACATGGCAACCTTTTTAGATCCACCTCATGACCGACCAGAACCCCATCCAGGTCGCCGTCGACGCCATCGTCAACTGCGGTCCCCGCGAAGACTCTACCCGAATTGGCTCCGCCGGTACCGTCCGACGACAAGCCGTCGATGTCTCTCCTCTCCGCCGTGTCAACCAGGCCATTGCCCTGCTCACCACTGGTGCCCGTGAGGCCGCTTTCCGCAACGTCAAGTCGATTGCTGAGTGCCTCGCCGAAGAGCTGATCAATGCCGCCAAAGGCAGCAGCAACTCCTACGCTATCAAGAAGAAGGACGAGTTGGAACGTGTAGCCAAGAGCAACCGATAAATTACCTTTTTGGTACTCGGAGAAGAGGGAAAAGGGTTTATGTGGTTTTGTCTGGAAAGAGGGAAAAGGCGGGGATGTGGGAAATTTTCGCGGCTGGGCTTCATGGCGTGGTTCTGGCATCCTTGAAGAATTGCATTTGTGCGTTTCGGGTCTGGGAACGCGTAACGGCTATGGATTTGTCACAAACGGCTCTAGAGTCTCAATAAAAAGTTGGCTCGGAAAGAGTGTAAATGAATTTAACGCCCTTTGCACCTGTACCATACACCGCTCTTGATGAATGCAAATCCAGTTTCCATATTTCTTCATTTAAAGGGGTAGAAGGGGGGCCCTAGTGCTAATGCTGGATTTGAATTGCTCGTAATGGCCAAATAAATTGCCAACGGAGCCGGCATTCAGGCTTCACCCCTGATAGCCGAAAGACTATATAGTATTGTCTAGAATCTAAAACGTGGACATGATATCAGACATCGTAATTCGTTAAATGCGGTTCACCAACGTGTTGACGTGGCGCAAATGTCCCTAAATACGGACACTTTTGGGGCTGACCTCCAACCGTTTAAACATGCCGACGTGAGGGATTCCTTCTTCCCACCACCTGCTCATGCCCTTGTCGACCTGGAAACCCAACTTTGCCCACGTTCCCACACTCTGCTCCTGGGCATGAACACAGACAAGACCACCCCACTTGGGTATCTCCGTCTCGGTCGATGCACCCATCTGCTCGAGGCCCAACTCGGTGATGCTCGGGTCGAAGAGCGACGGGTTGGACCGCAGCCACGACAAGGCCGTTTGTATGAGAAGTCCAGAGAGGCCGTTTCCTCGGTATTCCTTGACGACAGCCAGTCGGCCCAGCTTGATGTACGGTTCCCTTCCGTCGTGGAAGGATGTAGGGCGGTCTAATCCAGAATTTGCTGACGGAGAGCCGATATCAGGTGTGCCGCGTTCCTGCTCATGCCGCAGCTGGCCGTTCCAGTATTCGCCTCCAATCTTGGGGTGGTTTGCATGGGGGAACGGGACCAGGCGAATGGTTCCGATGGGCGTCGTTCGAGTTGAACTTTTGCGTGGCTGGATGACATTTCCATCTTCATCCCGTACCTCTGTTTCTTCCGTCTTGTTGACACTGGCGTATACTACCCAGTGGCAGGATCGGGAATCGTCACTGTCCTGCTCATTCTCTAGGGGCACGTTTTGTTCTTGTACGAAGACGCTCTCGCGGACCTCCATGGCGTCTATGAAGACTTTTGGTATAGTGGATGGCTGCTCGTTGTGTGGTTTTCCTGGCTCCAAGCCTTCGAGCTTGCTAGGCTCTAGCAGCGAGATGAAGGGTGTGCCCATTGTTGCCGAGTGGGCATGTATGTCTCCGTATATAGCTTCGGGTTTGCAAGATGCAAGAGAGAAAAAACCAAGAGGGCGGGGGATTTGGCAGAAAAGCTTATAATCGATAAACAGCTCGAGTTTGTGAAATCAGTTTTGGTACCCGTGAATATCTGATGCCCGTTGTAAAGTAAAGGAAGGCGTGCTTCTCCGCGGGGACTTTGCAGGCCCAAATGATGTGATGTTGATGCGCACTTTTGGGGGGGGTTGCTGATTAGATATGACGATCAGCGCCGTGGAAGGTTGCGAGGCGACAGGGGGTGGCAACGGATGATATTGTGCACCAATCAACAATACGGTGTCCTTTGTTCAAACGAGACTCGCAGAGTTCGTGGTTTATTGTCCAGTGGTGTAAATGTAATGCCTCTCTGGCAATGAGCAGAGATGTCTGGTCGGGTGCTGGTGCTGGTGGCTTACCGCCTCTCATGGAATGTGGGCACTCTTGTTTCAATGTTGGGCAGAAGTACTCTCGTCCAAGTATGGGGAATGGAGTACCACGACTTGATGAGTACAGGCAAGGTGGAGCGAACCTGCATTGATTAATGGATTCATAGCATTGACGTGGGCTCGCAGCTCGTGTGTCGGTGCTCACGCAACAAGATTGTTTGCTAAAGGAACATACGGGGAATCTCCGCCAAGATCCCACATCGACCGGGGATGACTGTCAAGGCATACAAGTCCTGCGAGTTGCTCTGCAAGAAGAGGGTGTTTTGTTTCGTTGGTTATAAAGGGTTTATAAATATTGCACACAGGTCTAAGGCTCAAGAGCACAGTGCATTTTCAAGCTACCCTCACATGGCTGACTCGCTTTGGGACACTCGGACACTCGCCTTGAATCTGGGTCCAAGTCTTTCGAAACAAGATTGCCAACTACAATCAATGATATCTGTGGTGGCAGAAGGCATTTGGCCACTTTCCAGCATCAATTGCACTAGCATCTTACGGCATATAACAACAGTATACAACATGATAGTATTTGATATGCGCTAGGCTGGCGGCCCACTTGGCCGGATACCTTGGGCCTTACTGGATAATATTCCACTTAGCTTTTGCAGATATAATGGCAAGATCCAATTGACAACCTGGGTAGGTCTCAGGTAGCACTTGACAGGGCAGAGCGCGTGGCTTCAGGAAATATCGCCAAACCACCAGAATCTCAAAGTGTCACTCTCACCTGCCCAAGGTCTGAAGTGTTTTTTTTTTTCCAGTCCTGAAGGCCTGCAGCACAATGGCATTTATTGTCCTACACATTGTACACATTGTCTGTGCGTTGGGAACGACGGCCAGCCCTTGTCGTGGCATACGATCCGCCAACCGTTCATTAGAGGAATACGTTTCCCACAATGCCCGCGTTGTCCCTGACACCTCGTCTCCAGCATTGGACAACGTAATAGTGAATCCCATATGCCCTCCTCACCACTGCCGACCAACCTTGCGAACTGTTGCGATGGTGTAGGGTAGTCCAATTACTGCACACCTACGGCCTAGGTATCCGCGGGCCCCACACCAGGCGCAAAGATTGAACGCAGAACCACATGGCTGGGGAAAGCTAACGTGTCTCGTGCAGAGCCTCAGACACGTTATGTATTCCGTGACACTTGTGACACTGTGAGACCCTGTCTCTTGTTGGTAACGTCGGAGTGCGTGTTCGGGAGTTAGAAGTGCATGAAAATACTCATCTGATTGCCCCTGCGGACCGGTCTTCTTGGGTCGATATGGCTGGCTGGCTGCCCCACCGCAGCACGACAAGCGGCGGGCCGTGCACCAGAGCACCACAGGACGAGAGGCTGGACGGACGAGAGGGGAGATGTGACCACCAAACGAAGAGGCCCCAGGGGTTGACGAATCTGGGGCTGGGGGCTGGCGGCACCTGGCGTGCACATGTGCTGGCCACAACCGTCAGTCATCATTGATATCACAAAAAGAGACATGGACCCTCATTTCGACAAAGTACCAGACATCTGTACTCTGTACTTTCTTTTTCTTCAGCCAGATTGTGCTCACTCAATCATCGTCCCCTTCTGCATCGTAGTCTCGCATATTAACCGTCGTCCTCTTTCCTGCATGTGTTTTCCACATTGACTCTTCCCCATTTTCTTATTGCCGACTTTTGTGATATTTCTCGCCCTGGAGTAGTTCGTCGAGTAGTTACTAACAGAGTGAGGTTGCCCAGTTTGGACCTGGCACAGGTGATAATCGATAAAGAACCCTGCTAGTCAACGCTTCTCTTCAGGGGTTTGCCTGCGCACCCTAAAGCACCAGAGCCCAGCACCCTCGCCCAGGTGCATGGCCAAGGTCCGAAGGACCCCAGCCGTCGGTGAGTTATCTCGTGTGCCTTCGGCCCTCCCCATCC